CGCCAAAGCCATTTAATGCTCTAAACGTAGTGGGGCACGTGGCAAGCGGTAAAGCAGTTACCGTGCAGGTGATGGGGGAACGTTTGACATGCTTTCCTAGGTTCTAGGAGTAATGGTCATCATGGAATCATGGTAACGGATGATTGAAAAGACGTCTTGGGAAAAGGGTAATGATGGTTCTAAACGTGGCAGTTGTTGGAAGGTGAAAAGTATGCGTTAAGCCTTTGTGGACAAAAGAGACAGGTGTCGAATAGGAATATCAAAGAATGACTATTTCTCTCGACGTCAAAATAGGCATTCTCAGGGGGGAAATTTGTTGGCTCTTGAATTCGACACCCACGATATATTGGCCTTATGGGTCAAAAATAGAGAAAATAAAGCTAAGTTAGAAAATGCTTCGACGGATGGAAAAACTTAGAGAAAATATTTGAGTTACAAATTGGTCTTCGATCAGACATCACCATCAAACCTTCGACTGGAAAGGTCATGTGACCTTTGACTAGAAGAACAAACCCTCGTGTCAGCGCCAAGGACGAAGGATATTTGAATTTGAAGATTGGAGGGAAATGCAATTCTCCAGCAGTTAAGGGAAAGCGACGTGGCAGGAAGATAGAGGTCGAGGGACATGCAGAAGACACTTGTCTTCATCCTAGAGCAAAGCAAGCCCTCGACGGTTACATAATTTTAGTATAAAAATAGGAAGTTTGTGTAGATTTTTTCGGTGTGTTCTACCTATTGTGCTAGTTACTCAACATTATTCAAGTATCCGCTGTGTGTGAAAGAATAACTGAGAATGTACGTTGGAAACACCATTTTTATTAATAAAGTCTTTTTACATTGCTTTGATCTTCTTTTGCAAAGTTTACGTTTCCTGCATCTTTACCTGCACTTCTATTTACTTTCTTACTTTCCAAAAAACCATAAACACCATATCCTTGGTCGAATGTGCGTTCTTCCTAGATATTAACTTTCACATCAAACCAGCATAAAAGGTAGCATATGTTTTGGGATCAATCTGATCGATCTCGCGAGTAACCAAAAGAACTTTCCTTTTGGGAGGATCAGTGGTTGTTTACCAAAAACAACGGTAAACAAATTGGCAGCGGTTGTTTACCAAAAACAACGGTAAACAATATGATAGCAAATGGATCCCACGAGAGGGATGCTCATTGAACTTATTCAACATTTTTGCTTTGGAGAATTTACCTCCTGACCTGCACCCTGACATTTCTAACCTTGTACATACTTATACCATAATTTTTCAACCACCCAGTCAACTTCCCCCAAACAGGCCCCATGATCAGCACATCACCCTTTTTCCAAATACCCTCTATCAATGTTAAACCATAATGATACCCAAATTCTGAAAAGGACGCTATGACAACAATTATTCAGGACATGTTAAGAGATGGAATCATTGTTCCTAGTAATAATCCTTTCTCTTCCCTTGTGTTACTAGTAAAAAAGATATATGGAACATGTCATTTCGTGTGGATTATCGTGCCTAAAATGCGGTAACAGTCAAAGACCGTTTCCCCGTCCCAACCATTGATGAACTTTTAGATGAACTAGGTTCTGCCCATGTTTTTTACCAAGTTAGACTGACGCCTAGGCTATCACCAGATTCGTGTTGCATTAGGAGATACTCATAAGACAACTTTTTGTACTTTCGACGGCCATTACGAGTTTCTCGTAATGCCTTTTGGGCTTACTAATGCCCCTTCCACTTTTCAATCTACTATGAATGACCTATTACGACCTTACCTACAGAAGTTCATTTTAGTGTTTTTTGACGATATTATCATTTATAGTGCTAATCTTAGTGACCATTTATCTCATTTTCATGTTGTTTTTGTTCTTTAAAATCACATGCATTTTTTTGTGAAACTATAAAAATGTGTTTTTACAGTGGAAGGAATTGATTATCTCAGCCATGTGATTCAGTGGGTTTTGTGGCACCCGATCTAGGAAAGGTCAAGGCTATTTTGGAGTGGCCTCAACCATGTCCGCTTATGGATCTTCGTGGATTTTTTGGCCTCACTGGGTTCTATCGTTGTTTTGTTCGCAATTATGCTTCGCTCACTGCTCCCCTTACTGATTTGTTGCGTTTCACTAAGTTTACATGGAGTACATCAATGGTCGTATCCTTGACAGAATTGAAGCATAAAATGACCGACATGTCGGTCTTGGATCTACCAGGTTTTACAAATACATTTATAATAAAAAATGATGCGTTTGGAGTTGCCACTGGAGTTCTTTTGTCTCAAAGGGGGCATCCCATCGCTTTCTTCAGCAAGAAAATGTGTCCTCGTATGCAAGTTGCGGTTGTCTACATACGTGAGATGTTTGTTGTTACAAAAGCCATAAAAAATGGCTTCAGTATTTAGTCAGTTAACAGTTTCACATTTACGGAAATTTACTACTTCAGAAAATCCAAACGACAGAACAACAGAAATGGGCAGTAAAGTTGCAAGGTTTTAATTTTGAGATTTCTTACAAACCTGGAAAGTCTAATTTGGTTTCTGATGCCTTAAACCAAAATTTTCAATTGGACGACTCGTTGTTGTTAGTTTTGCCCCCCCCCCCCCATTCCAGACCTTTTAACTACACTATATGAGTTTTATACAAAGCACACAACGGGTCAGAAACTTGTCGAGCAAACAATTCTCAACAACGTTGACCACAAGTTTTATAAATTCTCTAAGGGATTATTATACTACAAAGATTGTTTGTTCATAACTGACTTAGACAGTCTTTGAAAAATCATTCTCTAGGAATATCACGACACACCTACTGCTGGCCATTATGGAGTAAAAGCTACACTTGCCCGCTTGTTCGCATCTTTTTCTTGGTCAAGTATCTCCATTGCAGTTAAGACTTTTATCAAACATTGTAACCTGTCAGCAAAACAAATACACCACTCAGAAAAAGAAGGCACTATTGCAACCTTTAATAGTTCCTAATCAAGTTTGAGACGATATCACTATGGATTTTATTACAAACTTACCCAACTCTTTTGGCCACACAGTGATATAGGTTATTTGCGATCGACTATCAAAGTTTGTCCACTTTATAGCTTTGCCAACACACTTTATGGTGTCCCTAAGACCACCATCTCCAATCGAGATCCATTGTTTCTGAGTAATTTCTAGAAAGAAATTTTCAAAGCACAGGGTACATCATTAAGATACATTACAACATACCACCCGGAAACAGATGGTCAGACATAAGTTATGAAGCGTTCTTTAGAAACATACCTTCGTTGTTTTGCGAGTGACGAACCTCGTCAATGATTCAATTTTCTCCATTTTGCTGAGTTTTGGTTTAACACTTCGTTCCATATTGCGATCCAAATGACACCTTTTAAGACCCTCTACGGCCGCGACCCTCTGATGATCCCAAACTACTTAGCTGACTTTGTTTCCGATGCCTCTTTGAATGATTCTCTACAACAGAGGCAGGATATCATGCAACCTTTAAAAGATAATATCAAAAATATTTGTATCCAAATGGAAAAACAAGCAAATATAAAACAGATGCACTTTACCTTCAAGGAAGGTGATTTGGTTCGCCTCCGATTACAACTGTACCGTCAAAACACCATCATGAAACGCACATTACAGAAGCTTGCTAACATATTCTTTGGCCCTTTCAAACTTATCAAGAGGGTTGGAGAAGTTGCGTATTTACTAGATTTACCATCATTTTCGCGTGTTCATCTGGCGATCCATGTTTCCTTGTTGAAACCCTATTACGGAAACAACATGCTGACGGATTTCCGACCCCTTTTGTTGGCCCATGGCCCACTTTACTTTTAGAAACCCTATTATATATTGTATGTTCTTGCTTGTTGAAGGTTAATGAAAATCTAATGTTGTTTCTTAAGTTTTATCTCTTTATGCAACCCTAGATCTAGATTTAGCCTTAGTATAGTCTAACAGACAAAGCTTCATTAAACTACTTAGCAGCCTTCATTGTATATTGTTCCTGGTGGTTGAGGGTGTACTTGCAAACACATTAAAGATCAAGTAAGAAAAAGTTGTTAGTGTTAGATTTAGGGTTTAAAATAGCAAACACTGGAGTATGAATAATTTGTAAGGCTTTATAGTTGGGGTTTATGATTTAGATGCCCAAAAACCTTCTCTTGAACAACTGTCTAGCATAGTGATTGTCATGAGATCTGCGATTCTCTCCATCCAACAAATCGTATGGGACTGATTGGTCCAAATCCTATGTGCCTCTAGGACGGGTTTCCTCTATGGCCCGTCCCACTTCTTGGGACCCTAATTGCTTGCTCCTAGATGAATTGGGCCTTGACCCAATTCAAAACCCTTTAATATTATAATAAAGTTATATGTTTTAGTTTAGACAACAAGATTGCATTCGTGTTTTTTCCACATTCACCTTGTTAAGGTGTTATTAATAATTCGATCTTGATAGCACGGCTCTGAAAAAAACAAATATTATTTTCTTAAAAGTGCTAGTTTTAAATTAAAGTTGTTAGATTTTGATCAGACAATCAGTTATGCTTGAGGCGAGAATGGAGTGTTTTTTTTAATAGAGAATATTGGTTCCAAGATTTCATTTATAATACGAAGCAACGAAGTCATCCTATAGTCGAAGAATATTAGCAGTACTGTTCCCAATTAATTTCTATTCACATAAAAATTCATGGTAATCCTCAAAATATTTAGCTAGACATGTCAATATAGGATGGCCATCAAGAAGACAAATCAAACAACACAACTATGTACAATTTGGGAAGGACGTGGAGAAACTAGACTGAGAAAAATCAAAACAAATTAAACAAAATCAATATACTACACGCTACATAAAAATCAAATGCACGGTAACGGTCCAAATGCATAATTAGACTTGAAATTAATTACGAATAAAATATTAGTAGTATCGTGTGACCTTTATCTTTCTCCGAGTCTATAAATTCGCACACCAGCCTCTATTATGAAACACACACAAAGAAACTATCACATAACTAGAAAATGGAGAGCACACAGAGAAGTTTAACCTTGTTGGTACTTTGTTTCCTGATCATGGGAACAACAATGTTAGTGAGTGGTCAGAGTGCGAACAACGTAAGAGCAACATACAATAACTACAACCCTCAGAACATAAACTGGGATTACAACACAGCCAGTGTTTACTGTGCTACCTGGGATGCTAGCCAGCCATTGTCATGGCGTAGCCAATACGGTTGGACTGCCTTTTGTGGACCCGCCGGACCTACAGGCAGAGACTCTTGCGGCAAATGCTTAAGTGTACGACCTAGCATTTTTTTTTAATGAGTTTATTTGTTGACATGTGCAGGGACTTCATTATTTGTAACTAGTTAGTCCAAGAGAATTGATAATATATTGTGGTGATGGATTATGCAGGTGACAAATACAGCAACTGGTGCTCAGGTAACAGTGAGAATAGTGGATCAGTGCTCTAACGGTGGACTGGATTTGGATGTGAATGTCTTCAACCAACTGGATACAAATGGAGCAGGCTACCAGGCGGGTCACCTTACAGTTAACTACGTCTTTGTTAATTGCTAAGCTCAATGAACCACTCTTTCTAATAATAAGAAGTTCTAGCACTGCTTCTCATCATAAAACCATAAATAAAACAAAAGGTGTTATACATGCATATGTATGCTTAATTGGATGAAAAATAAATGATCATTCTATACTTTTTCTTTTCTCGTCGTCTACTTTATATAACTTGCTTTTCATTTAATTTTCGCTTAAATATTCATTGATACATATAAATTGTTGTATTTTTTATTTTCGCTTAAATAATTAACTTTTTAATTTTAACCCTGTACTATTATCCATCATTCGAGCTCCCATGAACTTAACTTCAAGTTAGGCATATTAAGGTGACTTAATAATTATAATTTGTAAGTCTATCATTTTTCTCTCTTGCTTTTAGTGCTAAGCTGCTGATATATAAGATAAGACTTGTAACTTACGTAAGTACCCCCTTTTTCTTAGAAAGCCGCCTTACATGACCATTACAACTTAAGTAAATAAATTCGCCTTTTTTATTTGGATTTAATTTCTACTAAAATTTTAAATTGTAAGGTAATAAGTGTATATATTGTGGGTCAAAGAAGAGAGAAACTAGTAGAAGCAAAAGAAATGAAGAAGCAAAATCTCTTCATATTATAATTGTTATTATGTTTTTGTTATCGATAACAGACTTGCTAATTTCATTTGTAATAACAAGTGTAAAGTTACAACGAGCTGGTTTTATCCAACAAAGGAAGAAAATAGAACTTACTGTGTCTGCATGCTTCAACACAATATTACCAAAGTAATTTTGAAGAGAATAATTTTCTTTTTTTTCGTTGAATTTGTCAAAACCAACCATAATCTATACATTTTGCAAATCTCAAAAATCTTTAAGAAATCTTTAAAGAAACGTTAATCACAACAACAAGATCTTTTCAAAAGTCACATATCTCAAAAAATGAGATTTAAATCCACACAAAAAATGGAAATAGAATATTAGTTTATGTTGGAAATAATTTTTTATTGATTTGATTACAACTTTTATCATTTCAGTTATATAGACTTTAATTTAAAACATAGAAAATTAAAAGTTAATTTTAATGACTCTATAGAAAATGATCCTAATTAAGATTTCGGTTATGGATTTGAAAGGTCAACAAAGTAGAAACAACACAATAATTATTAATTTTAAAACTCTCCATTAATGTGTTGTGTTGTTCTCTAACTCCCATTGTTTCTCTTAGTTGTTGGAATCATTCTCTTGACAGTGCTTTCGTAAATATGTCTGTCAGTTGATCTTGAGAACTGCAGAACACTAATTGCACATTGCCATCTTCGATCACACTTCAAATAAAGTGGTGCTTTATATTAATATGTCTTGTTCGACTGTGGAAAACAAGATTCTTCACCATGATATTGCTGATTTATTGTCACAGTGGAGCAGTAGACTTTCTTGCTTTTCTCAAATATCTTCAAGTATTCTTCTCAACCACAATGATTATTGTGTAGCCAAACCAGCTGCCAAATATTCTGCTTCAACGGAAGATTGCGCTACAGTGTATTGTTTCTTTGAACACCAAGAAATTACTTTTGAACCCAGGCTGAACACATAACTAGAAGTGCTTTCTTGTCATCAACACTTCCAACTCAGTCATTGTCACAATAGCCATTAACTTTGATTTTAGCATTTTTTTCAAATTTTATTCCGTGCTCCAAAGTGCCCATTATGTACCTCAGAACTCTCTTTGCTGCTCCGAGGTGTAAGTGACTCGGTTTGCTCATAAACCTAGAAAGTAAACCAACAACGAACATTAAGTCGGGTCGTGTAGCTGTTAGATAAAATAGACTTCCGACCAAGCTTCTGCACAAGCTTTCATCTACCAATTTTCCGCCATGTTCCTTCTTCAAATTTTCATTTACTACTAAGGGGATATCGACTGTTTTGTAGCCATACATGCTTAATTTTTTGAGAATATTTTCAGCATACCTTCTTTGACAAATAAAAATTCTAGATTTTTCTTGATATACCTCGATACTAAGAAAACGATGCAGCAGGCTCAAATCGCTCATTTCGTATTTTTTCATCATTTCAATTTTGAAATTTTCAATCAATTTTTCGTTATTGCTTGTATACACTAAATCATCAACATACAAAGCAACACGAAGAATTTACATTTCCTTTTCACATACAAGGTTAGCTCACTTTGACTTTTGATGAATCCTTGCTGAACAAAGTAGTCGTTGATTTCACTGTGCCATGCTCTAGGGGTCTGTTTTAACCCATAGAGTGATTTCTTCATCTTGTAAACCTTCTCCTCTTGGTCGTGAGTTTCAAAGTCTTGAGGCTGCTGCACATAGACTTCTTCTTTTAATTCTCCATTTAGGAAGGTTGATTTCACATCAAGGTGGCACAGGTTCCACCCTTTCTGAGTTGCTACTGCAATAATTATTCGTACAGTATCCAATCTTGCAACTGGGGTAAAAGTTTCACTATAGTCAATTACAGGCTGTTGTGCATAGCCTTTTACTACCAATTTGTCCTTGGCTCTTCGAATTGACCCATCTGGATTATGCTCCAGCTTGTAAACCCATTTTACACCAATTGCCTCTTTGTCATTTGGTTTTTCTACAAGCTGCCATGTGTTTTTTTTTTCAATTGCAGCCATTTCTTCCTGCATAGCATTCTTCCAAATAGTTTCTTTTATTGTTTTTCGAAATTTTCCAGTTCGACAACACAGAAATTGCATCTTGCATAAACATCACTTAAAATTATTCATTTTTACAGGAGTTGAACTAGGAGATGCTGAAGTCGAACTCGGTGCACTTGATGGACTTGGTGAATTTGAGAAACTCGGTGAACGCGGGGTTGGTTGCTCACTTCTAGCTGCTGGATTCTGTTGTAACAACACTGCAGAGACTATTTTTTCTTTGTTTTCTTCCCAATATCAAGAGTTTTTCTCATCGAATACAACGTCCCAACTGATGATGACTTTTCCTGTTTTCAAATTGTACAATTTGTAGCCTTTCGACATGGAACTGTAGCCAATGAAAATACATTTTTCACTCATTTCTTCCAGCTTTGTTCTCTTCTATTTTGGAATCTGAGCATAGCACACACACCAAAAAAATTTAAGATGGTTCACTGACGATGTTCTTCCACCCCAGACTTCAAATGGAGTCTTTTTCCACATGGCCTTTGTTGGACACCTGTTCATCAAAAACACAACAATGTTAACAACCTCAGGCCAAAAATCTTTCGGTAAATCTTTTTCAAGTAGCATAGATTTTTACATCTCCATCATTGTTTGATTTTTTCTTTCTGGCACACCATTCTGTTGTGGTGTGTAAGCAACAGTGAGTTGTCTTTCGACACTTTCATCTTCATAAAATTTCTGAAACTCATTCGAGGTGTACTCCTTCCCTCGATCACTTCTCAGCATCTTTATAAATCTACCATTTTGTTTTTCAACAAATGCTTTAAATTTCTTAAAGATTACAAACAATTCAGATTTTTGTCTCATGAAATATACCCAAGTCATGCGGGTAAAGTTGTCAATAAACAAGACAAAACACTTATTTTTGCCATGAGATAAGGTGTTCATTGGGCCATACACATTGGCGTCTATAATTTCTAATACTCGTTTAGCTCTCCAGGCTCCTTTCTTTGGGAAAGGATTCCAGTGGTGTTTGCCTAGCACACACCCTTCGCACACACTAGATTTTTCTTTGATTCTTGGCAGCCCATACACCATCTTCTTTTGATGGAGTAACTTGAGGCTTTCATAATTCAAATGTCCAAGTCTCTTGTTCCATAAACACGAATCATTCTCTTCTCTGGCCACCATGCTTACATTTTTCTCATAATTGAAAGAGAGTGGAAAGCTCCTGCTGCTAGTCATCTTCACAACGAAAACACTTCTTCTTTTTTAGTAAAAAATTATGCACTCTCTATTCTCAAAATTTAGAGAATAGTTGTACTCTAGAAGTTGTCCAATGCTAAGTAATTTTTTTTCTAAATCTGACATATAAAGCGTTTCATGTATGACTTTGCTTCCTTACTTCGTGGTGACTCCAATGCTTCCTTTCCCTTTCACTTCGACATGTTCTCCATTGCCCAATTTAACTTTTGAGCCGAATAAAGAATCAATGATTATAAATGGTTCCTTCTATCCAGTCATATGGTTGCTACAGGCGCTGTCCAAATACCAAACATTTTTACCTAATTCATGAAATGATTTTTGACAAGCAAAAAACAAATTTCCTTCATCAGATTTTCCTTCTACGTACGAAGCATGTTGTTGATTTGCAAGACGACAATCCTTTTGAAGGTGCCTGAATCTCTTGGAATTGTGGCATTATGGTTTGCCTTTGTTCCAGTAGTCCTTCTCGCCATGAGTGTTATTGTTACAAATTTTGCACCATTTGTTTGATGATTCATTCCATCTTCCACTGTTTGCACCTCTTCTAGATCTGCCACGTGAGTTTTGACCTCTGCCTCTGCCTCTTCTAGACCTGTCACCTCTGGAAGACTCACCTCTATTCTGTTTATTTTCACCATTATTGGGGTCAATGTTGAGTTTAGACTGAAAAGCACTCTCGATGGATTTTCAAAGTGACATAACAGTCTTTGTTCGTAGGACCTCGAAGATCCCATCAACCCTTGAACAATAATGGTTGATAGATCCTTGGTTTCTTCTATCATAATAACCATTGGGTCAAATCTTACTGTCAAACTGATCATAATTTTGTCAATAATTTTGTGATCCTCTATCGTATCACCATGTGACTTCATCTGATTCACTAACTCGGAGAGTCTGTTGAAGTATTCGTTCAGGCTCTCGTTCTCCTTCATCCTTTCATTTTCATAATCTCTCTTACGGGATTGAAGCTTCACTGTTCGCACTTTTGAGTCTCCTTCAAACTCTTGTTATAGGATACTCCAAGCTTCTTTCGATGTTTTAGCTCTTATAATCCTTGGGAAAATGGATTGAGAGACTCCTCTTTGAATCATCCTGAGAACTTCAACATCTGCAATTTTCTTC